TCTCTCTCTCTCTCTCTCTCTCTCTCTCTCTCTCTCTCTCTCTCTCTCTCTCTCTCTCTCTCTCTCTCTCTCTCTCTCTCTCTCTCCCTACCTACTCCGCTGCCTCCAGCGCAGCACCGTGTTGCGCTGCTCCAGCAGCGTGTCGCCCTAGAAGTGAGCTACTTGAATTGTGTGTGTGCCCTGGCCTGGCCCAGCCGTATATAGCGCTGGGCCTCGCTGGTGTGCCCCTGGCCCTAGCCTGAAACGACCTACACTGTCTGGGTCCCTACGGGACGTCCAGGCCTTCTTGCTGATGCAGCAGGGAACGTGCTGCTATCGGGCAAGTGGGCAGGCACCTGAATGACAAACGAAGTGCGTTGCTGCTTCTTCGACATCTGGTCGCGTGCCTTGACAAGGAGCTCTTGCATCCGTCAAATGAAGACAAGGTGGTCGTCGCTCTCGGTCGTCCGTGGGACGATGGTGTCCAATGGCGATGTGACCGGCAAGCCATGCTCAAACTCAAAGGGTGACATCTCGACAGCCTGGTGAATGGATGAGTTGTAAGCCAACTCGACGTCCGGCAGCCGCTCAACCCAATCCTTTTGGTCGGGACGAATGAGAGTGCGAAGAAGAACCTGTGCGGTTTGATGCGCCCTCTCCGTTTGGCCATCGTTTTGCGGGTGTGGTGAGCCGAACTCGGTTTGAGAGATGAGCCCCATCGTTTGATGAGAGCCAACCAAAAGTTGGACATGAACTGAGTGTCGTGGTCGCAAACGATCTCCTTGGGGTAACACTTGGTATGAATCCAACCGGCATAAAGAACCTCGCCCAACTCCCGTGCCTTGGCGTGTGAGTGACAAGGCAAAAACATGGCGAACTTGGTGAGTTGGTCGACCACCGTGAGAATCCCATCCATACCGGTCTTGTGCTTGGGAAACGGCCCAGTGATGTCCATGGCAAATCGATTCCCATCGTCCTAAGGGGACCGATAATAGTCGCAACTCACCTGAACGGACGATGGTTGCGGGATTTGCAACGCTGGCAAACCTCGCATGACTCGCAATGGTGTGTGACGTCGCCAAGAAGGCTGGGCCACCAAAATCGCTCGTGAAGTCGGCCAACCGTACGAGTGACTCCAAAGTGTCCGGTGGCGGGAGTGTCATGGAACTTGCCAAGAAGCCGCGTACGCAAGTGTGGATTACTTCGCATGCAAATAAGATCCTTCCCTCGTGAGTGGACTAGCGAATAGCCCTCTTTGATCCGATAGTGCGATGGCGCCGGATTTGCAGAGGAACACGCACTTGTCGCGAAATTCGGGGTCGACTTGGTAGCCGTGGATGAAGCTGTCAAGTAGACTGCGGTACAAAGGTCCAGGTGTCGTGAAAGAGCGTCCGCAAAAGGGTTTTTTTGGAATGTGATTGGGGAAAAAGTCAAAGTGGTCAATGAAAGCCATTCAACGGGCAATGTACTATTAACCGTGTTTTGGGTCTTGTAAAAGACCAGCAGATTGTTATCCGTTACCCATCGGAATTGACTTCGACCATGAAGAAAATGCATCCTCTGCTTAAGCGTGTGAACAAGGCAAATAACTCCTCCTCCCATGCGTCATCAATCGAGTGCGCGACCGGGCACGTTCTTGCTAAAGTATTTGCGTGGCTGCCAATCCATAACATCGTGTTGCTCTAGGAAGGCACCAATTCCATAGCCGGACACATGGGTAGTGATGCGAGTCAGCAAAAGCGGGTCTTAGATGCGTACAACCTCCGCAGGTAGCAAGGTGGCTTTGAGGGCCAGAAATGAAGCCCGCGCATGTTGAAGTCGAAAGGTCGGTCCTTGTATTGAATCTTGTGCGACAGTGGACTAATGCCCTCCGGTGTAACGAAATGGCCCAAAAACTCTTGACGCACGAACTCACACTTGTCGCGGTTGGCTTTGTACTTGGCACGACGGAACGTCTCCAACACACGTTGATGGTCCAGATATAGATGAGAATGCCGTGCAAGTAGACTTGCACAAATCGGTCCAGCATCGAGCAAAATTCGTTGGTTATCGTTGCTTGAAAAGTCGTCGGGGCATTGGTGAGGCCGACAGGTATGACAACCCACTCAAAATGCTCGTACCGTGTCTTTGGATTTGTAGTCATCTTGTGGGCGTATCGAAATCTGATGATAGCCCGACCTCAAGTTCAATTTTGAAAAATACTTCGCACCGCCCAAACGCTCAAGAAGATCGTCAATACGAGGAAGAGGCCCTGCATTTCTTGATGGGTTGCGCATTGGGCTTGCGATAGTCAATGCACAAGCGAAGATCCTTGTTCTTCTTACGTACGAAGAGAACTGGCGCACCATGTGGTGAGTTACTAGCACGGAGCCAACCCTTGTCCAACAAATCATCGAGTTGCGCACGGAGGACCGCGAGCTCTTCCTCGCTCATGCGATAGATGCAACCTTTCGGCGGCACGGCACCGGCGTCGAGAATGATCTCATGGGAGATTGACCGATTCGGCACCACACCGGTAGGAGACTCGAAGATGTTGGCGAACTCGTCAAGCAACTGCAGCACGTGGGGGTCCGAAGACAAGTTTGTGGGTGAAGATTTGGTTGCTGTGGCGGTCCAAAGAAAACAAAGGCCTATCTCGTCGGTCCACTCATAAGCGCAAGTGGACCGAAAAGACTTGGCCGTCACCACTTGGCACCGGATCGAAGGGTGCAGAAGAGGAATAGTGCACGACACTTCGGCGCCAAAAGCGTCGCGAACGGTAAGTGTTCGCCGATGGAAGTTGACCGTGTGGTCTGCACTCGCGAGCCAAGGCATCCCCAAAACGATGTCGAAGTCCATGTCCAAGACGTCAAACGCGACCGGTTTGCATGCATGTGCTGCGAAATAAACCGGCATGGCCTCGATGTTGCGTATGGCCGTCCGCCATCTTGATCGCCGTAGGACGTGGCTTCTGTCAAACTTGTGCGCCAAGGCCAGCCCTTTGAATAAAGGACTGGCTCATGAAATTGCGAGTCGTGCCGCTATCCAGCAAAGCGCTGCAGGACGCTTGCCCAACTTGGATGCGGACATAAAGGAGCGGTGTGTTGTTGTCGTTGTACCGCTTTGTTCGAAACTCACGGGCCACCTTGGTGCCATCGCTGTTGCACCACAAACAATGTCGGTACTTTGTACGGATCTTGTATACCGCCTCCCAGATGCTGCAATGGAGCCACGGTTCTGGAGCTGTTGTGCCGGGCCCGGGGGATGAACAGGCGCTCGTCTTCGATTGGCCGCGTCCTTGACCTTTGGCAGTGTGCCTGTGAATCGAGTTTCTCCAGTGTGGTTTTCCTTGTGTATCGGTTGACAAACTCTTTCAGCCCGTCCACATTGGTGGATGGCAGTCCTCACACAAGGACCACTTACCCTGAACAACCAGCACATGTGAGGTGAAATTGACCGGACTCACTCTGAATGTTCTTTTTCTTTGTTTTCCAAAATACTGACATTACAGTCAAGTTTGTTTGTGAATAATTTTTTGCTGGTACTGGTGCTTCTCATTACTTCCGTCTTCCCCGGAACATAACGCATGTGTTGTAAACAAATACAACACATAGTTTGCTTTCTGTTCGAATACGACACATATGCGTTCTGTTCGAACAGCTGGTGTATTCAAACACAAGGCATATGCGTTCTATTCGAATCATCGATTTTGTTTTGAGAACTCGCATACAACACATATGCCTTATGTCCAGGCGAAAACGGTAGGGGATTCTGTTTGAATCTGTGTGTGTGGGACATGGCTAGAGAAAGGCTGGTAATGAGATGCGCAAGCAGATCTCCACTGATTTTTCTGAGCCCTTAGAAAACCGGGGGGAAGGGTCCTGACAAGATGCAGTTCTGGTCAAGCGCACGAGTTCACACGAGCCTAAGTTGATGAAGAGACCTCCAAGGCTTGTGAACCTGCAACAGCGCCTGCTAAAAGTGGCCTGCGGCTTTGCCTAGCGGCCCAGGCCCGAATCGATATGCTCTTACAGCGTATCTTTTTTTGGGCACTGATTATTTGAGGTGCTATTTTTTTGGCGAGCGCGTGAACACGATGGTGAAACCTTTTCTGCGGACGGACGAACAGGACGTGGATAGATTTTCATCCTTTCTTTCTTTGAAGGCGGCGCGAGGAAAGACCTGTTGCTGTGCCAGTTGTTGGTTGCGCCAGAATGTCAACACTTCCATTGTTGGCTGTGTTGATGTCATGGATGTCTGTTCCTTCTTTGAAGGAATCTGGCTTCCACAACAACCTGGGCTTATTCATAAAATTTGAAAAAAAAAAAGGAAAAAAAAAAGGTAGGATGGGGAAAAGATGCATGTTGCTGCATCATGCATTGGTCATACTGGAACATCAGCATTTTCCTGATTGATGTTAATCGATTCATGTGGATGACTTGGTTCTGATGTGGCCTATGCGTGTGTGTGTGTGGGTGGGTGGGTGGGTGGGTGGGGATGCGGATGCGGGTGGGGGTGATTTGCTGTGTTGTTTGTATGTGGTTTGTTGTGGGTGTGTCAGCTTTCAGCATCGGCGGGGTCGTCTTGTTGCTATTGCCTCTCACATTGCTTGCTCAAGGATATCGTTGCGCAGTGGTTTCCAGATAAGTGCGAGTACCTGAGCCGTGAAGTACAAAGACACCGGCATAATCTTATCAACTACATTCTGTTCCTTCGAATCACCCCACTCCTTCCTAATTGGTTCATTAACATGGCGTCGCCTATGGTGTCTGTCCCGTTCAAAGATTTTTATCTGGGTACGTTGTTTGGTCTGCTGCCGGGCGGTTTCATCGCCGTTAAGGCCGGAAGGATCTTAGCAACGCTGACCTCAGTCCGGGACTTGTATGATTTCCAAACAGTCCTTGCCTTGACAGCGCTTGCACTGTTGTCATTGCTGCCTGTCTTTCTGAAAAACAGGCCAGGCAGGTCATCTGCTTGGAGCTCTGCGAAGCAGGTATGAGGTGAGGTTTGTCCAAATCCTTGTGAATGTGCTGTCGGTGAAGGATTCACCTATAGTATAGGGGCAATATAGATAGATACAGATAGGCGAAGCATTAGTTGAAGGAGAAAGATTGTAGGCAAAGCATTGGATGTGGAAGCAAAGATCGATTGCGACGGCTCTCGATCATCCATCTTGACTGCGCAATCTGCTCTGGCTACACCTTATTTTGGCTTCTTTTTCTTGTTCTGAAGTTCTTTCCTCGACACCCCTCCCTCCTTGCCCCATAGTGGTTCTCTCCCGCCTCTTGAAAGGTGGTTGATGCCATCGAGTTTGTTTTCGATAGAAGGATGCACCACGATCTTGTGCAGTATTGCTGCACTTTTCTTTGTGTTTTTTTTTGCTTTTAATAGATGTTTCAGCCGTCTGTGCGACACAGTCGCAAGTGACAGTGACGGCTTACGCAACGCAGGCATCCGACCGTCTGTCGTCCTGTGCACGATGTGGTATGACCACTATTCGTGCAATGTGGAACCATTTTTTTTGCTGCTCCTTACTTCTTTTCCTCATGAAAGAAAAAAGGGAATACTAATAATAGCATGTTCTGCGGTTGAATATATTTGTGATTGCACATCTACTATTCTGTATTCTCTTTTTCCTTCTTTTTCTTGTTGTCATAGTATATAAAAGTGGATCCACCACAGTAGAGAGAGGGGCATATGGGAATGAAGGGACAAGGGAAGGGAGAGGCACATTGCTCACAAAGCCACAGGTGAGAGAGGGGCATGTGGGAATGAAGGGACAAGGGAAGGGAGAGGCACATTGCTCACAAAGCCACAGGTGAGAGAGGGGCATGTGGGAATGAATGATGGGACAAGGGAAGGGAGAGGCACATTGCTTGCTCACAAAGTGTCAGCCCTCAGACAATCAATCAAATAAGGAAACAAAACTCGTCGTCGGCACAGCAATAAGCGAATTGAACCTCAACGGGCTTGACACACTCTTGGTGTTGCGTACAGGTGCTGCGGTGTACTTTTCATTTGTGGCAGCGTTGCAGGTCGTCGCAGAGGGCTCTACTTTTTGTTTTTTAGACCGTTGGCATGTGTGGCCGGTGCTTTTTTGTTAGGGGAGCCTTTTATGTTATGCTGTTTTGTGTGGGCTGACGTCTATGGCGGATGGGGGTCGGTGCTTCTTGCTGGTGAAGTCCTCTGTCTTAGGTAAGTTGCTTCGTGCCCTCCACCCTTTTATGCATCAAATAAATATAATAAATATATGTATATGTATATATATCGTGTACGTGCAAGTGTGGCGCTTCGGTGGCACACGGGTGTGTGGGCACTTGGCGCAGAACCACACGAAAGTGGCCAACCTTGGATTTTCTATTATATTGTCTATGTATGCTTTGTCGGTATGGATGGTTTGTTATGATTTGTGGAAGGAATGAGAGAGAGAATTAATTTTGGGGTGCGTTAACAACACACACACAACCTCCTGATGAGTCAGTGAAAGTATAGCTTTTTTTTAGTGTGTAGCGAATATGGCCACACACACACACACACACACACACACACCCATGTGCGTGGAGGGGATAGTAAGAAAGAATGATTGATTGATCGAACAATTGATGGATTGATGTCTCTTCCAGCTTCCTTCCCAACGCATTGATCTGTTCACCCACGGCGACTCCATCCCAACCACCCATCGTCCATCATGAGCATTAATCTGCCCATCCCGATTCAGTCCATCCATCCCGACCTACTTTCTATCCCGACTCCATTGCGGCCCACCCACCGCCCATTCCGACAGTCAATTTTCCCGTCCTGATTGTCAATCCAGCCATGGATTGAATGCAGGCCATGACGTTCCTTGTGCAGTCTCTTTTATCTTCCTCCTCTTCGGTGCTCCTCCATCCTCCGCCCTCCTCTTCTTCCTCGTCTATTGTAGGTTCCTCTTCGGTGCTCCTCCATCCTCCTTCGCCATCCTCTCCTCACGAATTGTGCAAAATGGAATGAATCTTCCACTAGAACATGGAAAGATACTCCGTCATATGTTCTCTTTTGCATGTGGTGAGTACTGGAGTGAGGCCCATAGCCTAGCGGCCCCCTCTGAAAGAACTCTCCATCCGCAAAATGAGATGCACCACCCTATTTTTCTGGCTTTTTGGCCTGTGGTGAGTAGTTTGAGCAATGCCCTATGTCCCAAAGTGGGCTGGCCATGTTCTTCTGCACCTGTGGGCCTCGCTCCACCGCTCGCCACATGGATGAAAGACGAGAATATGCCGGTGTATTTTCCCATGTTCTAGCAGAAGATTCATTCTCATTCTGCACGTTTGATGACAAGTTGAGTGAGTCCCTACGTCCTTGTGTTCGAGCAAGGTTGTGTTGCTATGCCCTAACGTGCGCCTGCCATATACTTCTGCGGCTATTGTATATGTATTCGAATTTTGAACATTCGTAGGCACCTGACAACGGCCACAACACCTACCGACAAAAGAAGGCCATGTGGCGCGCAACAACAACAAAAAGAAAAAGCAATTCTCAAACGAACCGGCCCGACGAAGGCCAGGCGAAGGAACATTTGCGAAACGACATGGCGAACGCCAAAAGCAAAACAAAAAACCAGCACGGACCTATAGAACTCACTTCTGCCCGGGGCGTGGACTGCCTTTCGGGACGTCGTGTGCCACAGCTTTTTGCTGGGCCCATGTGGGGGAAGCATCATGTGGGGACCTGTTTTTTGCTTTTCAAGTCTAGAGAAAGAATAGATGAAGTAATATATACGTCGTCCGTTTTTCGCAGCCCCTCGTTTGTTGTCCTCTTCTCCCACTCTGCCGACGGTTTAGCGCGAGGTTCTGTTTGACGATATATATCGTCGTGTTTCTTTTTTTTTTTTTTTTTTAAATGGCAAACATCTGTGGCAACCTGCTATTGGAGGTGATACGAGCATCCTCCAATAGCAAGCCCCAGTTTATAGATGGCTCCRATCTATTGGTGGGGAGCATCACCTGCTGGAAACTGGGTCCAGTGTCCCGCTGACAAGATCGGAGACAATATACCTGGGGGAACAGCATTTGATTGCCCTCTCACGAGGGGATTGACTGCCCGCCCAATTATCAGCCAGGTCACAGCATGTATGAAGATCTAGCTAGCCATGGCGAGGGTAACCAACTGTCCTCCAATCTGCACCCTAATCTTTCGCAATCATAACAGTGCATCGCAAACGGTAGGCCCCCTCTGTGCATAAGGCTGCTGCCCAGCTCCACGATTCTCGTTTTCCGCCAGCTGAGATAGTCTGCCTACCCTCCCTTATCCTTGAGCTATTCACCCGGCAAAGATTATTTACACGAAATCGTTTCTGTCAAATTTCTGGCAGAGGTTAGCAACATCTGCGGCATATATCATCATCATTATATTTATTATTATTAATATCACGCATCTGCCATGCGTACTCTTCCCCCTGCCATTTTGGCAACCGGAGTTCTGCCCATCCCTTATCGATTATCGTATCGCCTCCCCCTATCAACCACCCAAACGTCAGACCTTCTTCTCGCTCCTCTTCATCGTGCCCTCCACCCTGTGCGAACCACAAAATATACGAGTCAGGACAGGCAACAGGGAGGGAGCAGCGGGAAACCCTTGGTCAAAGAGGGAGCAGGGGGAAGGCCCAGGTCAAACAGGGATGCCGACAGGTGATATTTGCGCAGAAGTGGAACAATCAAAACACATGCCAAACCCATCGAACCTACCCCTCACATGCCAAACCCGTCGAACCCACCCCTCCCCGCAGTCAACTGCCTGAGCGATTGCCATGATTGTACCACACCGCATGTTGCATACCGTATAGGTGCAGACCAGAACAAGAACCGACCTTTCAATACAAGGTATAAGATAGCACAGCGGAAGACTTAGATACCAGTGATCCGAACAATCAATGTTGTAATGCAGCCCTGAACATACATCRWYRTYATSGTTTCATAGTGTGAATGGGTCTGGCGCTTCACACAGGAAGACAGCGCCAGCCCAGAACATGCACAGACGAGGAGGAAGGGGATAGATGAAGAGGAGGGGGAAGATGGGAATGTCGTCAACACCAAGTCTTCGGGACAAGCCCAAATAGTCCCTCGTCGAACTGTCTGAATCCCAAATGTCAAGTCTGGATCCAATGTCGTCAAGTCTCAAGTCACAACTCTGTCTCTCTCTGTCGTAGTCTGAGAAGTCAGGTGGCGAGAGGGTGAGAAGAGAAGGTGGACTTAGAAGAGGAAGAAGAAGAACTCTCTCTCTCTCTGTGTCCAGTACTAACCTGTGAAGTTGGCGCCTTGATGCAGGTACCACAAAGATGGAGCTGGAGCGATGGCGCCACAGGTAAGTACCACTGGCCTCCGCCAAAGTCTCTCCCAACTCTACGATCTACCACCTACCAGTGCCCAGCGCTGAAGACTACAGCTACAGCTATGGCGCCCAGCGCCGAAGACTGCAGCTAGCGCTACCACTACTGCCTAGCGCTGAAGACTACTGCAGCGCTCCTCCTGAGTGCTGCGGCCGAATCCTGAAGACTACCTCCGCCTACTGACACTACCTACCCGTGAAGTGCATGGGAACCTCCTATGTACTACGGGTGTGCCTCTTGAGCCTGCTGAAGGGAGGCAGGGGCTGCAGCTGCAGCTCCTGCTCGAGTGCGTGAGGAACAGGCTATTTTGGGCCTGTTCCGCATCCCTGTTTCCGTGCCCGAGTCTTAGGAGCAGGTCGAAACAATGAGGGCCTGAAAATGGCCCTCCGTTTCAGGCTGAAAACTCTGGGTCTGAAAAGACCCAGAAATAGGCTGAAACGAGGTAGGGCCTGCAGGCCCTCGTTTTTCAGCATCCAGGCTGAAATGAACGGGGCCTGTAAGCCCTAAGTTTTAGGTTTTTAGGCTGAATGTCCGGGACGGGCCCTGTAGGGCCCATGTGGCTACGCAGTATGCCACACCGCAGCTCATTATTATCGACTTCTGGGGGGGGGATGGTATACCCCTGCGCAATCAAAAAAATTATTGTCGTCGTCGTCGTCGTCGTCATAGTATGGTAAATCATTACGCATGATGCCATTGCCCGCATCAGACTGCTGGGTAGATGACGAATCAGTCGTCGTAAAAAAAAATCTTTCAGAACAAGCGGGGAGAGACGGTTAACGGAGGCCCCAATTTCCAGACCACTTGTCAGGCCATTTATAACAAAACCCAAGGGTCATTTTAACCAAACTTGCCACCAATTCATAGAGTGGAGATCATACTAACTACTTACGAAAACAAAATTGAAAATAGGAACTTTAAAAAGCTATAAGGCAAAAGTGTGTTGTCATGCAAAATTCACTCATTTCAGTTTTCAGGATTTTCAGGATTTTTCAGGGCTAGCCAAACCTGTTAACCGCTTGTGGGCTGTTGATAAGACTGTGAAACGAATTTTCGTTGTTGTCAACTGGGTAAGCTGCGTGCGATAGTTGAAAATGAAACCGACTCTCTGTCTGTGGAATGCAGACATTCGGCTGTACACTGTGGTATGACAATCTGCATGATGATGAACGGCTTTCCTCTGCAGTGCTGCCCCCTACACCGCCCAAAAAGAATCCGTCAA